ACACAAAAGGCAAAGCTAAAGCAAATTGGTAGGCAATCTCGCTCTCTCTACATATGTACATTATTATAGGTTCATTATTACTTTTCTGAAGTGGTTATAGGATTAGTATGTATTAGAACTACATATATTGACTTATGACGACATCTCTTGGTAATGTACTAATGTATAGGGTTTACAGTTTTGCACTTATCGTAGGTGCATGAATCATGAACTACCCACATATATGTAATAAATCATACAAACATAGTGTGTGTACTACTAAACATGAGGTCAAGCTCGAAGACCCACATTGTTGGGGAGAAGGAATCAACTAGAAGATTCTTTATAATAAATAAGTAGACTTAAATGCCGCCTACGGACAATGATCTAAGTGGGTTTTTGACACGGCCATAAAATTTTGTCTTTTCTTCTGGAAAATCTTAAAGTATACATTCTTGAAGATTATATCACCTGACAAAAGCTTTTCTTAATTTTATTGGACTATCCGTATTTATGAGCATTTTAGTTCTTAGAGTTTTCAAGATAGGTTCAGAAGTAAAACCTTTAATTTTATCCACACAAAAAAAAAAGACGATAGGATGAGTTATTGTTTTGTGATACCAGTATTTTGGTTGTTAAAATGATAGTTTCCATTCCATCAGCTCTAAAGCTTTTTATTTAAGAAAAATACATATGGATATCTACAGATTTCCAGAAATATAGTGGATTTTTTTGTAACGTCCATGACACTAGATAATATATGATGTTAACTTTCACGCATGCAAAATTGCAAAAACTAGGTTGGTCCCTTTGGGAATACATGACCAAATTGGAAAATTGTAAATACTACAAGTCATGTAAACGCGATAATCCAATCCATCAGATGCGACCCGTCATTATCCTCTCTTTATTTTTTTTGTAGCTTACAAAGTTACAAGTCATCTACTTGTGACTTATAGTTCTTGCAGACCTGTCGATTTAAAGTCCACATCCGATCAAAAAGCCCGTTTTTTAATAATGGGCTAAGAATATGAATTATGAAGCTGCAATATTTGTGTGGGTGTAGTAGTTGACTTGAGAGGCCTAATAACTTAACAAGTACATTTATGTTTTCTTTTGTCCTTAGCAAATTTAACATTATACTTTCCCGAGAAAATATTTCACAAAATAAGAAAATAAACTAAAAATCGATTTATGAACTAAGTTGTACAACATCGAACTTACACCAAGATTCCAAATATGTACTGATGACTGCAAAAATAAGGATCACATGAATACTTTATCAGCTCACTGAAATTTCAGACTACTTTGTAGTACGTACTATTTGAAATAGATCGAGACTGTTTCTAATAAAAAAAATCTTGACTGCATTAAATTCTCAAAACAAAAGTATTATTGTTTTGTTAAATGATCATAAATTCCTAATTCTTAGTCTCCTCTTCCTCCGGCTTTGGGGCGTGTAGGACCAAAGATTGGTCATAGGATCATCAATCTCCTATTGCTTTCACTTATGAAAATGACTTATATCTAAGTTATCACTTTTCACAACTACAAAAACGCACATTTAGTATTTTCACTATTCACAACAATCCAATTCTTTTCTCTTTTCATTCAAGTAAATGATGAATTTAAAGTAAAAACAGGGCAAACATTTTGCAGAGTAATGAATTTTCTCTTCTTTTTTTTTTCTTCTTCCAATTTTACCCACAAATTAAACGCAGAACAAACACAAAAAGCATTATAATCCCAATAGCAAAAACAAAAGACCAGTCAATAGAAAAGTAGAAGAAGAACACCCAACTTTCCAAGTTGAAGAAACAAAGATGGTTTCTTTTTTAACAACCCATCACTGCGCAGTTATACACAAACACACCAACATTTTCTTTAACTCCAAGCACTTTCCAATCCAAGTTTCCATCTTTAGCTCCTGATTTCGGACACCAAGAATTCACCACTATGCCCTCGCCGTGAGGACCTCGTTGCCCACAAAACACCAACAGTTGGTCCCCGCACGGTTTAAACGCCAGTCCCCAACCGTTTGATGAGTCCACCATTGGTGGTAACCTTCCCATCACTTCCCATTTGTTCTTCACCTTATCATACTTCTTCACCATATTGGTTGAGTACTCGAGCGTGAATAGCTCGTTGTTAACCACTACAACAAGAGGTGGAGCCTGTGCTGCTCGGTTCACATTTGGATACATTCCTTCTATCTTCCTCCATTTCCTTGTCTCCAGATCAAATTCCTCCCCAAAAGTAACCGATACATTCGGGCTCGACATGCCTCCAATCACATAGAATTTCCCGTCCATGAAAAAACCCGAGCATAGTCTTCGAGGGGAATGCATATTGGGAAGCATTTCCCATCTCCCTGACGAAGAATCATAAAGCTCAGCTGATGCTAATATATTCCCATTCATATCAGTCCCTCCCGCAACTATAGCAATTCCACCGAGGCTTCCTGATGCAAACAAGCAGCGAGGACGATGCATTCCTTCACATTTGACCCAACACCGAGACCTCAAACTGTATTTCCAAATCACAAACTGAAACAACTCTCTCCCGAAAACCAAAAGCTCGTCATCTACAGCCAAAGACTCTTTATCGGCGAGGTTGAAGCAGTCGTCACATGGCATTTTGGGTAACACCATCCACTTCTTTTTCATAGGAGAAAACATCAACCAACCTCTCGGGTCACAAACCATGAAAACAAGATACTCCACTATCCCCAATTCCTTTCTCAGAGCAAACAAATGACCACCGTTGATCAACTTATTGTACTTCTTGTTTACACATGACAAGGAAGGATAATCCGACCTCGGAACCCAAGCAAGACAATTAAGAGCAACGTCATCGATAAGACCAGGGAGAAGCGAGTCAGTAGATCCCAACCTGAGGCGATGACCATCGTTCTCCTCTCCTACCATCGAATTCACAGCTACAGAAGCAGAAGCAGAGACTTCTCTCCTCTTATTCGAATGTTCTTCCGCAGCCATTAACGTTTAAGACCCTATTTCAATACAAAGAATCCAACCCCAACCAAAAAACAAAGAAACCTAAAGGCTATAGCAATACAAACAACAAATTTAGTCAAGACTCTTGTTCTTCTTCTTCTTCAAGTATCAAAAGCAAGTCTTGCTTAATTGGGCAACTCTTGTCCCAGTATCCGGACACAGATTTCGACTGTTGCTCCAAAACAATCTCCATCTCTTTATTTATTTTGTCCATCAAATCTTCAAACAATCAAAACTATATAACAACAACATCATCCTCAAAATCTTTTACCCAAACCAGTGAGTTTCCAAAGTTGGAAAATTTTCTAGCTCCGATGCAAAACCCAAATTAATCTGTGGAAAATACCGAAATCGATGTCAGAATCTGGAAAACTTTAAACCAATCAAAAAACAGAAAGAAATGTAAAAAAAAATTGTTCCTTTTGTCTTCTCCGATCCAAATAGAATCATTACAGACTAACATAAGATCGATCCTCAAATCAGAGCCAAAGTCAAATCTCTATGAACAAGAGAAATCAGATCCGAATCCAAGACTTAAAAACCCAAAAATCCCAATAAAAATCTGAAATTGGAAAATGCGCCCAGATCCAAAAACCAGGATCATACAGAGCAAGAGAGAATGAACAAAATCATGCAATAAAAAACGAAGAAGAGAAGACTAATCTCCAAGCTTACCCGAAAAAAAAAAATCCACTGGTAGATTTAGATCTCGTCGTCTCGGGTCAGTCCCCGGAAATAATTACCCGTTGAAAATTTCGCCGGCGACCGGCATGGAGTCAAAAGGTAGAGAGAGGGTGGACTGGGAAAAGCGAGAAACTGAAAAAAATGGTTAGAGAGAAGAAGAAGGAGAAGGTAGGGTTGTTGTTACATATAAACAAGTGAAGAAGCCAAACAAGAGACAAGAAGCTTGTATTAATGTCTATTCCATAAACTTTTAAATATAAAATTAAAAGCTTCTATTTATCTCTTTCATTTTAATCCTAAACTTTCTAGACATTTCCCTTTCTACCCCAAAATTTATATACGAAAGGCTTTCATAAAAATTCTCGTTTAATCGATTATGTAATTTTCACTTTGTATATGTTATATCATGAATTAGTAACTGTATCCAATCTCCTAAAATAAAATTTTGTAATTAAAATCTTTGTTAAATCAAAACGGTTTACATAAATCAAAACACAGTTATAAATTCGAAAATAAAAATTTAAGTATTAAATTTATATTATGTGAGAACGGGTTGAATGTTAAGAAATGTTACATTAGTATCTATATTATTAATCACACACGTACAAAAATGTTAAGAAATAAATTGAGAGAAAATGTGTAGAAAAAAACGTATAATAATTTATTGATAAAATACATAATTTCTATGTTTGTAGTAAAATAAGATCTCAGTTCAATTACATGTTAAGCGCGACAACAACACACACGATCATAGCCATGTCCTGTTCGCACACAGAAAACTTTATTAGAAGGCCTGCCTCCACATTTCTCAAAACAATCTTCTTTTCTCTTACAAAATACAAGAGGTTCATAGGATCCACAAATTTCCCCGGAGAGGTTTATCTCTCGAGTGGATTTCACATTGTTAATAAGTAGAGAAATTACGACGATGAGAAGAGCAACAAATTTAATTTTTGACGACATCATTTTTTGATGACTTTTCTACTTTATAAGTGAAATACGAAACACTTTTTTGGTTGAATAAATTGATAACTAATAATGCTTGCTTTATAGTTTTTTTTTCCCTGATGTTGTGGTTTTAGCTTTTATGGTTAGAAATTTGAGTAATTATAAAATTGTGTTAGCTTTTAAAGTTATACATAGATAACTGTTAGATATTAAATACATGCGTTATAATTTGCACCAAAAAAAAAAGAAAAAAGTACGTGCGTTATACATGCACTTTTAAAGTAAATAATTGAGAAATATATGTATACTATAAGAATTAAGGTTAGTCATGTTTACTTTTGAGAAAAAAAGTAAATCAAAGTCACAATCAAAATCAATTTGTTTTAAAATTTATAAACAATGGACAATAACATGAAAATTATCTAGTATTAAATAAAAAGAAAAACAATGACCTCAATCGAGGTCAAACTTGTACGGTTAAGTAGATGCATCTATTCTTCAAAGCTTGTACATTTCTTAAAACGATCAAAAGCATCCGAGTTTTTTTAGTTAGGATCTGAGGTTTCAGAGATCCCATTAGCTTCTTCTTCTTCAATCTTTGAGGCAGCATTGCGTTTGCACCAGCAAAAATACTCAGGGACGTGCCCGTCTTCTCCAATGACCCATGGATGCTCCGACACATTCTTCAGTGTCATTCTCTGGCTCGGATCTGCAAAACCACCATTGATATACACACATAAAGACTCAACTCTATGCTTTGTACAGTTAACTACACCAAAAGGATGGAAATACATCACCTTTGCAAAGGAGACCTTCGATCAAATCTCTGAGAAGAGGATTCAATCCATCCGGGATTATCAAAGGGTTGTTAACAATCTGTAAGAGATAACAGATTATGAACCATTAGAGGCTACAAGATTTTCAATTAGAATTCTTAAGATCCAACGAAAGCATTGATCAGATGCAAAACCTACCTTGTCGTACGTGTCCTGAAGAGTATCCGCAAGAAACGGGTATTGTCCCAATATCATACAATACAAAGTAACTCCCACTGCCCATGTATCCGCAGCTCTGCCACTATACGTTATACCTGATACTGATATTGATCCAAAAAACAAAAGATACTAGCTTATTCTCCATACACTTGGAGTTAAGACCAAGCTTAGAGAGATTAGAAAGGAAGCTGACCTAAACAACATTCTGGAGCAGTGAAGACTGGAGTCCCGGGAGATCGACGCAGCTGATCATCATCATCCTGTAGCAACAACAAATCGATGCTAACACTCAGATCACACGATGCATATCAAGAATTAATGAAGACCACAAATTAACATATAATTTCTCACCTTGAATACTTGGCTGACACTGAAATCTCCTATCTTCACTGTACCGCTACTAGTAACCAGCAAATTGTCGGGTTTAATGTCCCCGTGAATTACATCCTGTTTTTTCCCACATAGAAACAGTATCAAGACAGTATTAGGTTATGAGCAATGAAGTGAGAGAAGCATGCTAAACAATGAAGATCATACATGAGCATGAAGATACATCAGGCCAGTAACTATATCCCGCAAATACTTTCTAGCAGTTTTCTCTCCGAGAGCACCTGGCGGTCCAGAACCGTCATACACCCATTTCCCATCAACGTATTCGAGAACTAGGAGAAATCAGAAGGACAAAAATTATAAGTTTGAAGGCTCTTTCCATGGAGAGTGTATATCGTAGAAAAGAGAAAGGAGATTAAGTACCCATATAAAAATGATCAGTTTCAGGGTCATCTATCACCTCAATGAGGTTAACGATGTTAGGATGCTCCAAAATTTTCATAATCATAACCTGAAAATGATGAGATAAATGAGAGTAAACATAACTTCCCTAAAATGAAACCAATAGAAATACTGTTTAGCGATGCAAAAAACTAAATATACCTCTCGAAGAACATCACTCATAGCAGTCTCTGAAGGTGCAACCCTTAGCCTTAACAAATGTGACTTGTGAAATGCCTGAAAATCCAAGTATTAAATCATAATATGCCAGAGAGCTACAAGTCATATAAGTGATAATTTAAACATATTAGCTTGTATAATTTGCACTATATTACAGGATCATAGTTCAAATTAATAACATCAGCTAAACAAAACAAAACAAAACAAAAAGGTTTCAGTTTCACGCGGTAATGAGGGAAAGAAACAGGAGGTTACCTTGATAGCATAATACTGGCCGTCTAACGTGCTTCGATATAAAACCTGTGAATGCAAAAAAAATAATAATGTTATGGAATCCAAAAACCTGGGTACTTTTGGAGGATACACTGAAAGGATTGGATAGTATTGTGTAAATGAGATCACACTTACCACTTTACCATAGCTACCAGCTCCAATTTTACATACGCGAACATACTCATTGATTGTCTTGTCACCATTTTCATCCTACATATCAAACAACAACTAAATTGGTATAGACACGCCATGGAATATTCTAAGAAGCAATAATATGAGAGATATGCCCAAGGAGTCACTTACCTCTCCACGTATAAGTTCATTAGTTTCTCTCACTGGAATGTGCCTGCAGATTAATCCATTATCTAATCTATATTTCAAAATTTCCTCAGATCGTTTAGAGCGGCTCTTCTGCTCTACTTCTTCTTCATCTTCTTCTTCTTCTCCTCTCGCGGTGCTAGTTACATCACTATCACATGAATATGTATCATCATCGTAGGGCTTAGGCGATTGTCGGGTTCTACTACCAGAAGTGCCAAAGCATCCAAAGCAACCCATGGTACGGGCAAACAAAAAACTATCACGAAACATGATCTACTTCTCAAAAAAAAAAAAAAGTGCTCTTCAATGTATGATGAAATATAAAATCCTCAAGTTAACTGAGGAACCTATACAAAAAAAAAAAGTGAAATCAACATTAACATCCTGAATTGAGCATCCAAATAATTAAAACACAAAAACCTCTGCAGAAATCGAAATCTTACCCCGCGATAAAAGGGGTTTTGAGGGCTTCAAGCCCGATGAACTTGACTATTCCAAAGGATGCCATTCAGCGAGATGAATAATACAACTTGAGATACCATAACCACTGCAATCGAAACGCGACATGTCCAAGACTGAAAACCTTATAAGTAAACTATATTTATATAAATTCCTCAGCCCTTCTTCACGAGCAGCAACTCGTTGAATGCATAGCCCCAACTATTAATAGCTACACAGCTTCAACAACCGCCAATAAATTCAAGTTGAACTACAAGGCTTCTGCAAAAAAAAGGTCAAATTCTCATTAAATTTGCTGATGGCAACACCTACTACGACTGATTTTACAAATTTAAAAGCTTGTGTTGACATTGTGGGTATTATGATTCTAGCGTAAAGGTGTACACTTTGTCAATCCAAATAGTCAACTCTAACGAACGAAAGAAAAAAAACCATCGAAATCATTGTAGTATCGAACAATGCAATGATGGAGAGAAGAACAACCAAATTCTACAGCAAACTCAAGAACCCCCAAGAAGATAGCTTCAAATTCACATAAATCACAAACCAGAATCTCCCTAAATTTTGAAAATTGAAAAAAAAGAAAACCCTAATTTCGGAATCGGATGCAATGAAATTTTGTATCAGTAGATTCGGCAATCGAAAAAAAAACAGATATTGAAGGTAAGAGCGAAAATCATACATTAAAGCGGATTTTTGAATTCGATCGGAGCAAAGGAAGATCGCAAGGAAAAGGCTCTCTCAACGTCGTGCGTGAGAGATTAGACACACAAAAAAAAAAAAGAGCTTCGAAGCCTTTGATCGAGATTCTCTCCCCTTCTGTTTTTTTTTTTTTGGGGGTTTATATTTTTTTTTTAGTTTATTCTTTTCAAAAAGGAGTTTTATATTTAAATCATCACCAGCTAATGTGACACAAACAGCTATAACTAAATTCATTGGTTCTCTAACAATATAATTAAAGGATCTTCTACATTCTATAGTTTTACTAATCAAACAACACATTAAGGAGTTTTTGAGCATACATCTAAAATACCTACCTTTACTTAAGTTTTTGTATATTACATCATCATCTTTAAAATTTGTAAAGCAAATTACAAATTTCCTAGAGAATTCTTTGATTTTATCAAAAAAAATTAGCTTACCAAAAAAAAAATTAACATAGATTATATATTTGTTTTTGGTTAGCATAATTGATTCTTTAATTTTGTTCACAATTAATGTCTTCATATTTAAATATGTTTCTATGGAAAATATCTGAATACGATTCCAAATCGTGGGCAAAGAAAGAAACACAAAACAAAAGGGAAAGAAATTGTCGTCACTCGCTGATACAAAAAGGCTTTTGTGAGTGTCCCAATTCCATTCACGCAGTTTTATTAGTGTTTATTATCTGAATTCTGACACTTTCTCTCTTCACGCCGCCGCAAATGACCGTCGGAGTTTTAGCTTTGCAAGGTTCTTTCAATGAGCACATCGCGGCTCTGCGGCGGCTCGGTGTCCAAGGCGTCGAGATTAGGAAGGCTGACCAGCTTCTCACCGTTTCTTCTCTCATCATTCCTGGCGGCGAGAGCACCACCATGGCCAAACTCGCCGAGTATCATAACTTGGTCCGGTCCTGTCTCTCTCTAGAATCTAAATTAATTGTTTTTGCGAGGACCCACTTGAAGAAACTAGTAAAGGTTCCTTTTTTATGTGTGTGCTTGACACGAATCTGGCGTTATTCACCAAAATTTTGGATTTTTTTAACTGAAGTTATTAGATTCTCCAGAATTTCAGTCAATCGTCTCTTATAACTTAATAATTCAGTTAGTATTGTTCAAAGAAATTGGCTTTGAGATTGTAAATGAAGGAACTTTGGGAATAAGCTGAGAGTTAGTCTTCAAGTAAATGTTTTGTACCTGAAACCTTTAAACATTGTGTACCAACCTACTCTTTGATTAGATGATCTTATGGATGATTTTAGCTATCTTTAATGGAACCGATGATGAGTCTAGCTAGAATCTTGAAAGGGAGAGCTTTCATTTACGTTTATAGTTGTGAGTACGAAGAATAGTATAGAAGTCTCTTCTCTGCTCTAATTTTCATTTGTTGCTCTGTTGAAGTTCCCGGCTCTACGTGAGTTTGTTAAGATGGGGAAACCTGTTTGGGGGACATGCGCGGGTCTTATATTCTTGGCAGACAGAGCGGTTGGTGAGTACTTTTAATCCATCTCCCTGTCATTTGTGTTGCGAAATAGTTAGAAACTAAAACGTGAACATGCTGGAAATTTCAGGTCAGAAAGAGGGAGGTCAAGAGTTAGTTGGTGGCCTTGATTGCACTGTGCATAGGAACTTCTTCGGCAGCCAGGTAAAATTATGTCTCTTACTAAGATTCTGAGTTCATGTTTAAGAGATGTGGAAACACATATGTAAATTAATCTTGACTTGCAAAATGTGGGAAAAGAGACGGCTTATATCAGCATGAGTTGTACTTATATAGAAAACTCAGTAATGGGAGTAAAAAGATTTGTAGGTCTCTGGTTGACTAAATTCATAAGGATTCACATCTAGCATCATATAAGTTCTTAACCATGTGAAAATCTTAGATTGTTCTTAAATTTGTTTTCGATGTGTAGATTCAAAGTTTTGAAGCTGATATCTCAGTACCTCAACTAACATCTCAAGAAGGTGGGCCAGAGACATACCGGGGAGTGTTCATACGTGCTCCAGCTGTTCTTGATGTAGGTCCTGATGTCGAAGTCCTGGCGGATTATCCCGTCCCATCAAACAAGGTCTTGTATTCAAGCTCAACCGTACAAATCCAAGAGGTTTGCTTAATTCACTAATGTTTATGAAACGATTACTCTTTTGTGAGCACATGTATGAGTCCCTTCTTGTTGGTTTCATTTTTTCGGGATAAATCAGGAAGATGCTCTTCCTGAAACAAAAGTCATTGTTGCTGTGAAGCAAGGAAACTTGTTAGCTACTGCTTTTCATCCCGAGCTAACTGCAGACACGCGATGGTAATTAGTTAACTTTTTCCCGGTCTTTTGATATCTTCAACAGCGATCTATATACTCGGATTTCAGTCTTTCTGGTTTCATTTTTTCCAGGCACAGTTATTTCATAAAGATGACGAAAGAGATCGAACAAGGAGCTTCTTCAAGCAGTAGTAACACTATTGTATCTGTTGGAGAAACAAGTGCCGGTCCCGAGCCAGCTAAGCCTGATCTTCCTATATTTCAATAACTGAACAGAGAGAAGAGACACACTTCTTAAAATAAAAACTATAGAAAGTGTCAGATTCTTTATCTTTCTTACGATGTTTTGGAAAAATTGCAAGCTAGTTTGCAATTTGCTCACAAGAAAGTTTCACAAGACTCTTTAATGGATGCATGTACTTGTTTCTTAATACAATTTTTGTATACCGTTGAATTTCAAACAGCTTTCCTGGTTCATTTTGGTTTGTGCCTTGTGAATTGTGAACAGAAGTCGTTTGGCCAAGAATTGAGCTTTAGAAAAGTGGTTAAAATGGTTAAGAAGCTAGCCCGGTTTGTAGTAAACCGGTCAGCTGACTTTGGCGTGTTTGACTTCTTTTTTTTCTTGCTTTCTCGAAAAGGTGCAATCTTGTAATAGTGGGCGGCTTCGGGCCAATGAAAGTCAAGAAAGTTACTTAAAATGCACACATTTACAGATATGTTAAGACATGAGGGCTTTCTTCTTCATTTAAGGCATCCTCACGTTTTTGCTACTCGTTTCCTTGCACATAAAGGCACCAAGAACATACAATTAAACTGAAAAGTTTTAGAGAAAGATTTAGATTTGTTTACATAGTGTGATTACATAATATTAGCAAGTTACTATGAGAAAAAATCGGTGAAGTTTGGTTAATTGGGGAAAAAATGAAGTAATTACAAATATGTTTTGATCATGAGGCATTGAGAAATAGGTAAAAACTAATGTGAATTGATAATATATGTATGGTTGTGTTTAATTAAACAACTCTTTTCTAGCTAAAAGACTTGATGTTGAAGCTTCATCAAGCTAGGTTATTGTTAAGAAATCAATGGAGACGACTTGAGATGAACTCAAAGAGTCGGCTTCTTTCCTAAGATGAAGCAAGGGATATTATCATATGGGGTTTTAATAAGTCAACTCAATTCTTTCTCCACTCTATATAATCCCTTCTTCTGCAACAACATTTCACCACACCAATAACACAAACATTTTGAAAAACCAAAGAAGAAGAAGAAGAACAAGCAGAAGCTAACTAAAGAAGAAGACTTGAACTCGAGAGATGGGGCGCAGACAGTCATATGTGCTTGTCGCGCTCATTGCATTGCTTCTCTTGACCGATATTGTCATTGCAGAGAGCGATGGCGGCAAAGGCAACGGTAACAACGGCAAGGGGAACGAGGTACAAGTAGACAAGGGTAAAGGAGATGATGGCAAAGGCAAAAGTAACGGTAACGGTCCAAAGGACAAAGACCAGGAGAAGAAGGACAAGGAGAAGGCGGCCAAGGACAAGAAGGAGAAGGACAAAAAGGATAAGGAGGAAAAAGAAAAGAAGGATAAGGAAAGGAAGGAAAAGGAGAAGAAGGAGAAAGAGGAAAAGGAAAAGAAGGATAAGGAAAGGAAGGAAAAGGAGAGGAAGGATAAACTGGAAAAGGAAAAGAAGGATAAGGAAAGGAAGGAGAAGGAGAAGAAGGAGAAAGAGAGGAAGGAGAAGGAGAAGAAAGACAAGGAGGAGAGTGAAGCAGCTGCGAGATACAGAATATTATCACCGTTGCCTACAGGACAAGAGCTGGCCATGTGCCAAGGTCGGGGATCATGTTATTACAAGACTCTTGTTTGCCCTGGTGAGTGTCCCAAGAGGAAGCCCACGAAGAACAAGGACACCAAAGGTTGCTTCATTGACTGCACTAACAAATGTGAAGCTACCTGCAAATGTAAGTACATTCTATTCAATTGGTCTCTTTTGTTTAGATTCACTTTGCTTCTGGCATAAGTATGAACATAGATTTCAGTCATGGATTGATTAGTTGGGGTACAAGGAATTGATATCTTCTAGCCCAAGTAACTTGAACTAATTCCGGTTTTCTTCTCTCTTTCAGGGAGAAAAACGAACTGTAATGGC